AAGGTGGAGTTCTCTAGGAGTATGGGGCAGGGGAGGTAGGGGCAACGGGAAGGAAAGAAATATGTGGAGGGCAGGATAGAGTGACATGCAAGAGCAGGGGAAAGGTGTATGCCGGGTCTCACAGATTTCTAAATATTCACCGCTGTGTGTGTGTGTGTGTGTGTGTGTGTGTGTGTGTGTGTGTGTGTGTGTGTGTGTGTGTGTGCATAGGAATGCAACATGCAACCATAGCAACCCAATTACGGGAATCTACGTTGGCCATAGATTTACCATTAGTCTTGTGCGCATTTGGGATACATACCTTGACATCATAGCCTCTGCACCATCATTCCTTGCATGTATCAGCAACATAGCATCCACGAGTGGGGTAGGCGAGAGCAATAGGAGGAAAAAGAGAGAGAGGAAGAGCAAGAAGTAGGGAGCATGATGGGCAATGCCATCAACACCAGTAGGACTGCTGGTGGAGGAGGGGTGGCGCATCCCCTAGAGCGCTTTTCGCCGCTTGCGCCCGTCACGGCGCATCAGAGGGTGGTAATCCTCTGGCTCCCAGTTGGGGGGTGGAGGAGGTTGGGTAGGAGCATGGCAGGGTTGAGCCCGGGGCTTAATGTACCATATGTTCCATAACGCGAGCAACACAGGCTTTTAGAGTCTGGACAAAGAAGAAAGAAAAATCAGAATGCGTGAATTCGTTCTATTTGGCATTTTACTATTCAGGGTGCTAAGTTCAAAACAAATTTTACTTTATAATGAAGAAATTCTAGTAGCTTTTAGTTTTGTGGGTTTTGTGTGATGTCAGCGTCAGGGAGGTTGTCCCTGATCTGTGCCATCGTAGCAAACCTCGCTGTTGCCACTTGCGATCGCAGGGGTGATTCACCAGGTGGTGGATGCACGCTGCCGATCAGAGGGACACACAAGCCACTGAGGCGCAAGAAGCGCAGGCTATGGCATTCCAGGGCAGAGAGCAACCGTCTTCACCAACAGTGGGCTAGGGTGGCTGGTATGCGACACAAATCCACCACAGCAGAGAGAGGAAGGAACTAGGACGACTGAAGAAGAGGGGCGGAGGCTGTGGGATTGGGGAGGAAAGATATGGATGAATAAGTAATGGTGGTGGTAGGGGCATAGGTGCAGCCAAATGCGTGGGATCAAGCTGGATTGTATCCAGCTCAGAGGATCCCCATGGGGCTGCCGTGGAGGGATGGAAGAGAGTGGGGGATGAGTGTAGTAGTCAGGAAGAGGATGACCTGGGGGTGGTGGAGGGAAGTGGAGGGGGTATGATGGTGGTGGCAGGGTATTGCAGTAGGGAGCCATGGGTTTTAGTAAGTGGTTTCAGGGTGGGAGATGACCGCATGCGGGGGTAGAGTTGGAGGGGAGGAATGTGCCGAGGTGATGAAGAGAGGGTGGAAGGGGTGGAGTACATGTGCTGGTGGAACATTGGAGGTTGTGGGGTCATAATTAGGTGTTGGCAGTGGTCATCGTTCAAGGTCTGTTAGACTATGTTGTGTGAGGGTATGGTGTTATCGGGTGCTGGTATAGGATATTGGGGGATATGTCATTGTGGGGGTGGGTGAGGGTTGGAGCGTGGGTGCTGTGGCTCGTCGTCCAGATTGTTGTTGGGGTCATGTGTGCGATAGTGTTGGCAACGCAAGGAAAGTGTGCATAAGTTCGTGGAAAGGCTTGGTGTCCTTTGCGTGTGGTGCGTTTGCGCAAACAGATGTATGGGATGTGGGTTGCTGCTACGGTTTTGTCCGCATGTGTGCTGTCTGGTGTGTGTACTGTTTGTTTGGATTTGTGTGGGTTTTTGTTTGTTTGTGTAGGTCCAGGCGGGAGAGTGTTGGTAGCACGATTTCCTGGTCTTAGTGGAAAGGAGTGGTACTATTGAGTGGGGTGGTGGTGTCTTGCCATAATGTGTCGCTTCGTATTTGGCTCAGCAGTCTATTTTTGTCTCTTGTTCTTTTTGTTATTATATTTATATCGTCACAAACGGAACTGCCCGGTAAACCGTAGGCAGAGAGAGAGAAGAGGACAACAAACGAGGGGCTGTGACAAAATGTTTTATATATATATCGTCAAATATATATATATCGTCACAAATAGAACTGCCCGGTAAACCGTAGGCAGAGAGAGAGAAGAGGACAACAAACGAGGGGCTGTGACAAACTGTTTCGTCGGAGTTTCACCGACTCATCAGGATATATATATCATACTTGCAAGCGGACGCCGTCCGGGCTGTTCCGTACGTGCGGCAGACCGTCGGACCGGACCCGTGCGGCGCACGAATGTGTGCCCGACGACCAGTTATGCCCCACCCCCCCCAGTTATGCCCCACCCGAATGTTGTCCTATTGCAGACAACAAGAGCATTTGAGATGTCCAACATATTAAAGCAATTTTACAATTAGACAGTTTTTTGGTTGTCGTTGGGGTACCCCTTACAAGAGCGGTGTAGTGGCCAGAAGCATGTAGAATATAGGCACAAACGTGCGAAGGGTCGTCACCCGAAGGTGCACGCTGCATATCAAGCCGGCGCCTTATCAAAGCAGTCTCCAAAACAGAGACATTGAATCCCCCATGTCGAGTGTAATTAGTATCTTGTGGGGGATGCAGAGTTGGGTTATCGCCATATAACTCACGTTCCTGAGCATCAAGATCGGAAGCAATGGCCAAGAAATCAGAGTGAGTATATGGTTCCCAACGATAGGCTTGCAGGCAGATGTTAGTAGCAGCGAGGCCACACAGATTCGGTGCAGGCCGGTCAGGCGGATTTTCTACAGAATGTTCTACAGTCCTCTTGCCAAGTTCATCCTCGGATGGTCCGTCGCCATCATCCCTCCTGTTTTGTGTTTGCCGCGTTGCAGAAAGGTCTGCAGTCGAAGAGCGTTGGGCGTGGTAAGGATGCTTGGGGCGGCAAAAGGCGAGGACGGGATGTTGGGGAGGGCCGTGGTGGGGAGAATGAACGGGTTCTTCTTCGTCCAAGAACAAAGATGGAGGAAAGGGGAGTAAGCTGAGGTT